AAGAACCTCACCCACATGTACTTGCATCTGAAGAAGTGAGGTTCTTACCCACGAAAGCTTATGCTCCCAGTACTTCTGTTAGTCTCAAAGGTGCCACAGGACCCTCTGTTGCTTTTTACTGATTCAGACTAACACGGCTACCCCTCTGATAAATAACACCAAATGTAAACTGTTACCTCATTATTCAATTCAGAACCCAGATCTGCCAGTCTCTGCACTGGACAGCCATGTTAATATATAATTGTACATGTCTTGTTCTCCACCTTATGTGCTGTCATAGTTCTAAGTGAAAATTCTTCTCCCTATTTTGAAAAATCATCCGTAGCGGTCAGTACATACTGGTATCGCTTCTGTGGGACTGGAGATAGCCCGATTAAATCTGCTCCCAGCAGTTCCCAGGGTTTAACAACCTATGTGCAAGAACACAGGCTAGAGTTATCATTTGGATCTTTCCTATGACATTTTTATTATAATCTCATATATAGTAAGCAAAGTAAACATTATCATGTGGTTTCTGCAATAGTTGATGTCTCATCACAGTAAGAATCTAACTTTTGGTGTTTTTCAGAAGTAAATAGACCAAACTCCTGCAACTGAAAACTTGCATAAATACGTTTTGCCAGCACAATGGGCAATCCATTAGTTCACATGTGCATTTGTTATAGCTGATTAGGGGCCTTATTGTGCAGCAATAATAAATACAGAGAATGATAAACAATTACCTTGGCTAATGTTTAAAAACACTTCAGATGTATTTAACATGGGGAAAGATGCAAAGTGTTTGATTTAATGGGGAGCTGTCTAGCCAGGTCCATTTCATTGTAGAGGTTGTAAAGTTAAGCCCAATACAAGCAGAACATTTGCCTTCTATGATATCCTGTATGAACTCCTGCAAAGCATATGACAGAGGCACCAGGGTGACCAGAACCTTCTGTAACTGCATGGGTTCTCTGCTGTCTTTCCAATGAAACCAGAGAATGTTACCCAGAGCACTCAAAAGTCTCCTTGGAGATCTAAGAGGGACCCAAACCAAGCAGGGGAAACACAAACTGCCTGATGGAACCAGCAAATGCTAATTGGAAGGGCCTCAAATGCCACAGCTGTGGACAGTTTCTTGTCCCTGAAGAAGTCAAACCTATTTTAATCTATAGTCTGTGCACTAAGAATTTCTGACTTACCCAGCAGGGCAGAAATAGAACCCAGGTCTCCTGATTCTTAGTCCAGTGCCATAACCATTGGATCATTCTGACTGGCATGGAACATGGCTTCTTTACACCCTCCACCAAGTCTTTGGTGTCTCTGCTTCTCTCACCATCTCCTTCCGTGCCCCTGGGGCCATCACCCTTTCCACACCACTATCTCCTGTCAGTGTGGACAGACTGCAGCGCTTTCCCTACTGCGCTGTACGAAGGCTGGTTTAACTCAAAGCGATCTACATTTGAAAGTGTAGCCATGCCCTTGGAATCTAGGCTAGACCTCAGGCCTTGTCTACATCAGACAGTTGCACCAGTTTCACTGAAATTGTTGTTTAAACAAATTTAGTTAAACCAGAGCAAACCCCGGTATGGATGCTCCTCTTATTTCATTTTAAATGCAACTTATGGAAGTTTAGATTAACCTGATTTCTAATTGATTTGAGATTAACTGAAATAAGCCTTTTTCAAACCGAAATAAGAGTGTCCACACAGCCTTTCACACAGGTTTAACTAAATGAATTTTAAAACTTATTTAAGGCTCGTCTTGAGGCAGGCCATTTGTCTGGGATGAGTTGGACAGTGCTGGTTTTGGAAAGGTTTGTCTCTGTCCAGTACCACACATGGTTTTGTCTGGTATCATTATGGAGGACACCATTTTGCAGAGCTTGCCATGCTACTCCTGACAGCATGACCTCGGACACACCAGTGGGAGCAGGGTGGCACACACTGCAAAATGGCGTCCTCCGTACAGCGTGACTTCACATGCACGGTGCTGGCAAAGTCATGACGGCAGGGCCAGGGTCACACCAGTGAGGGCAGGTTCATCCTGTTCCTGAAGTTCTGGAATGTCCAGTGTTCCAGGAATGGTCAGTGACCACCCTGCTTGTCTACACAGGAGGGTTAAACTGGATTAATTTGAAGTAATCTGATTTTAAAATGTATGGATGCACACACACTGCAATCCTTCACAGCACACTAATTCTGTGTTTATTGTGAACTCTGGAGTCCTCTTGCAAAGTGGACTACCTATGCTTCAAATAATTCTATCCATCTATTGTCTGTGTGCACACAATCCCGCTGCACATCTCTTTGACCGTCCTCCAATCGCTATTCCACACTGCTTTCCAAGCAACTGTTACTGACCTGTTTACCTCTGTGCCCTCCCCTGCTCTGGTGTCTAGTTCCCCAGATGACCCAACCCCTGTTTAAAAGTTGGGATGGGGCCAAATTTTGCCTATTTGCTCCTGGGTTCAAGTATATCACTACTGCTGTGATATTACCTCAGAAGCCCTATGACAGCCCTTGAGCAGCCTCTGGGAGCCGTGCTGAGACCTGGATATCATCGACACTGGGGAAGGATTGTGGGTTCAGGAAGTTCTTGTAGCCAGTCACTGCGATAGAGATCTGTCTGTGGAGGTTGCTAAGCTGGTGTGCAGGAGGGGCTGGGATGCTAACCAGTGCCTGATAAAGGAATTTACATCCCTGTTACACACAGTGATCAGTGCGAGAGACCCTTATCTGCCCTGATAGTGCCCCACTCAGCATTACCCGGTGAAGCTGTGTCTGTGCAGTAGGGGGGGGGGGTAACATGGGAAGGGGACTTGGGGGGATTCCCAGGTCCCCTCAGGGCCATTAACTGTGTTATATGACTCTGAGATGGGAACGTTCCGGCATTTCATGCCCCGGGGGAGTCTCTGACCATGGAGAGGAGTGGAACGGCCACAGGGGGCAGCGCGGAGGCAGGAGTGAGAGCGCCGGGGCCCTGCTATGTAGGCCGCTCTGCACAGCAGACTCAGTCATGTGGGGGAGCTGGTCCCAGCACGATGGAGGGAGGGCTGGGGAGAGCTGGGGAAGGGGATTCGGTGGCTTGACAGGGAAAGCGAAAAGAGCCCATCCCCCAGGGCTGTGTGAGTGATGGGCCCAGGCTGGGTGAATGGGACCTGCTCTTGGGAAGGAGCCCAGGCAACTTGTCTCCCATTCTTGCCACACGTTCACCCAACCACACGGCTCCTCCCCAACTCCACATCCTTCAGCTGGGCACCTTCCTGTAGAACCACACACCTGCCCCCTTCTTGCCCTGCTCTGTACCCAGCAGCTCCCCCCCCCCGTGCTGTCTCTGGGGAGGGGGCTGGTGAGCTGGGTGAGTGTTGTGCTGAGGTCAGGCCGAGGAGGCCACACACACACTATGGAAGTCATGAGATCCTCAGAGACATTCACTTTCCTTTGTGTTTCTCTCTCTGTATCCCCCCTGCTGTAACACAACTAGGCACCAGCACAGCTCCCTTGTGTGCTGAGATGCTGATGGTGAGTGTGTGACATTAATCTGTCATGTCACAGATCCAATAAAGATGTCATTCAGATCCATGTTATTTATGTTTTCCTCCCTTTAATTCCTGGCCTGGCTGTCTGACAATGAGCAGAATTGGGAATCAGAACCATGCAGGGACAGAGCTGGTTGGGCTGGCCCCTTCCCTGTCATGTCCCATGGCCCCAGTGGGAGACCAGCAGCAGAAAGGTCCATGCAGACCAGGGACATGGGCTGGGAAGGTGCTGTGGAGGGGAAGCCCAGGATGGAGTCAGAGCTGTGGAGGAAGCGGGGTCCCTACACTCCCAGAGCTGTTTATTAGGGCCTGTGGGGCTGCTGGGGAGCCACTCGTAGGCTGTGGGACAAACTCCTGCAGGAGCTGGGAACAGCCCCAAACATCCCCCCGTTGGGTTCCCAGTGCCAGGTGAAATCTCAGACCTGCCTCCAGTCACCAGCACGTGGCGAACGGTAGGCACCTAGGGTTGCCAGCTCTCTAATTCCAGAAAACTGAACACCCTTGCTCTGCGGACTGCCCCGCCCCTTCCTTGAGGCCCCACTCCTGCCCACCCATTCCTGAGGCCCTGCTCCCCGCTTACTCCATCCCCTCTCCCGCCGT